TTATATAAACAAATGCAATGCCAGTAGGTGAAATAAATCAAATTATGACTATTAAGGGGAAAATATAGCAATTGTCACTATTTGTGTTTTATTACCTCTACCTAATATTGAGTCAGATTATGGAATATATGACTTCTACTTTACTCCAGGATGTCTACAGTAACTAAAGTAACTCTGAGTTTCAACAGATACTTTTCAAAGTATGAAAAATAAGGGGAGAATTATTTTCTAACCACATTTTTTTTTTATCACAAAGTGAACTGCAGGTACAGATATCTTGTTCTGTTATCATTTAATGTATGTGACATTCTCATGAGATAAACTGCAAGGTTTCTCATCACATAGCAGGAGTTACCATTTTGAATAACTCCTGCTATCATTTTGAATCTATTTCTGACAAATATAATCTCCCAGTGTCCAACATAAGCTCTTAAAAACATTTTCTTCAGGAAGAAAATGCACACTTAATCCTAAACCATGATAAAAATCTATATTCTAAAATAAACAAACTTTGTAAATTCTTATGGTTCAGCTCAGGTTTAAAAATATTTACTAAGAGCTTTCTTGTATAAATTAACGTGTTGCATAATAAAAAGTAATATGTAGCCCAAGACTTCATGAGTTTATGGTCTTCTGGGTGAGACTAAAGCAACATTACAAGAAAAAAAAACCAAAATATGGTTGCATTTAAAGAGTTTTCAGAGCATGGTCATGTTTACTTTCAAGTAAAAAAAGGAAATAAAAACCTTATTGCCTTATTTTGGCCCCTAAAAATCCTAGTCTAATAGCCAACTCCCTACTTATGTACTCTGAAACAAAGCCTACCAGTCAGTCCAAATTTCCTGCCCATGTTCTCAGGAACTTTAGTCAGGATTCCTACTGTGGGATAAGACTTAGCATGAAAGCAGCAGAGACTAGCAGCCTAATTCTCAAACACTGATGAAATTAGAAATAGAGGCATTAGCAAATTAACACACGACAAAGGCAATTACTAGAATAACCAAAAATAATATAACTCTGGAACACTGACAAGAGGGGCGACGGATGTGACATAACTCTTGATCTTTTATATCAGGGAATCCATAGATATTATTTAGAGTTGGTGAATCAAGAAACAGAGTTTCATTATATTATGCAGGGTCATGGAGAGGGCCATTGGAGCAATTAGAAACAAAACTTATTAGAAGACTCAGCTGAGGAATAGGAGACTAGAACGAGGAAGGGCAGCATTGCTTTACATTGCTTTAAATGGTAAGCTAGTCTGTATCATTTTTTTTTAGTTAACACCTGCCTATTTTAATTTGGTAAAAAATACAAAATTTATCTTAATTAAAAATAATTTATCCTGATGAACAACAAACCCTTCTTGCTCTAATGCACATGCTTTACACGCTAATTTTGACTTTTAAAGTATTAAATTAGTACATCTGAAAGTCAGCCAGTCCTGTGTATTTTGGATTTCTATACAATAGTTATGAAGAAAAACAAATAGATATATTTTAACCTGATCAAAAAATTAAAATGTATTAATCTCTCCTTACTGTGTGACAGTAACAGCCATAGAACCAAGTGCTTTAAATACGTTATTTAATATAATTCTTCCAACAACCTCATGAATTAAACAATATTATCTCACGCTTAAATATACAAAATAAATAAATTGAACAAGGTCACATAGCTGACTCAGGCTTTTTTCCTGTTATTAAATCATCGTTTAGAGTTAAATACCTCTCGTTCTAAAACATGGGCTTTTTTTTACCCCTCTTGTATACCAGAAATTATCAGTTGTGGTCATATTTTTAACATGAATGTATCTTAATTTTTTCCCCTAATAGCTTAAAGCATATATTGAATAACTTTTACTTGATTTCTATTACGTCTTGGCATTATGGTTAAAAGTCAAGTGATCTTCAACTTAATTGATGGTAAGTTTATTTCTCTCTTAAGTAATTTAAAAATACTGAACCCCTGTGCTATTTTCAGGAGTGGGTGAATGTGTATCTATATAATAACCAATAAATTAGATTTAATTAATATTAAAATGACAAAAATATACTAGTTCAACTAAAATAAAATGTGCAAGGCATGTTTTCCAGTGTTATGCTTCTTTTGGACACTTTGTTGAAAATCACATGTATTAACACACCAGTATTTGCTAGGAACTTTACTGGGTCCTATATGGGTTGTGTTTATGAATGGAATCTTTACAATAACCTATTGAAATAAAACTACTACCCAGTTTTATAGACTTAAAAATCAATGTTCAGCTTGCCTCAGAGCATAGGTACAGTGAGAGGATTTGAACTCAGGTTGATTCTTCCCTCCATATTGTCTGTAGAAATTACTATTCAACCAAAATGGACTATACTTAATTGGGCTATAACTGATTCCATGAAATATTTTTGGTCTACAAGAATGTCTTTCTATATATTATGAAATATTCCATGCGGAAATTAATGTTGCTATAAGCTACCAATATAGAAACTATTGGAAAGGAATAGGATTATTTTTGACAGGCATATTCTTAGTGAATGCATGCTATGCTCTGTACTCTTGTCTTTCCCACCTAAGTCATTGAAAGCCATCTATTTAATCATTTATCCCAGGATTTAACACCTGGTGTTATAAATATGCAATAAGTTAAATGCTATCAAGAAATGGTGAAAATCCTTTTCTGAGATAGGGATGTAGGAAAACATATATTTCTCCTAAGAATTAGGTTATAGATTAAAAAAAAACATCCTTTTTATCTATAGTTTTGTGAATCCTTTTAGTTTTCTCAATCAGGATTTTGGGTTATTTCTTCTCTGGCTCCTGAAAATTTTTCATGGTTTTTTATTGATTACTGACATTAAATTCTGGAAAGTGTTATTCTAAGTTTAGTATATGTTTCTGACTATAAACAGATTTTTGTATGGCTCAAAATTCTAGACAATATAATTACTGTCTTAAATTTTCTGTAATCTTCCATGTCTTAAATTTCTTTTTTTTCTCCTTGGGAGAATTAAATTTATAAAAGTTATTTCTCTTTTTATTCCCTTTATTTTCTGATAGATGAAACCATCAATTTAAGAATTAACCAGCTGTTCTAATATTAACAGCAAGACAATTTAGTTGATATCTACTTTTTCTTTGTTTCTCATAACAATATTTTGAAATAAAGAATTTCAATTTTTCCCATTTTGTAGATGACAGACAATAAGCCTAGAGAAGTTAAATGACTGGTGTTTAAGTGAGAAATCTTACACATATAATTCTAACACATGAATACATTATACATCTAGGAAAAATTACCATATTTATCAAACACCAAGAATCCATAATTTTAACGATCAGATCAGAGTGTTTTTTTCCCACTGACATTCACAGTAAAAATATACTTTATATCACAAATGCATATATGTATATTTATTGTATTTTATTTATCTCTATATATAACCGAATAAAATTCCACAAAATGATTTATCCCTACTTTGTTCTTTGAATTATAATGTTTTTTCTTTTATTTATTAAATTTTATATCAATAATAAAAATGCTGGTCACAACCCAGTGAATTGATTTTATGACTCACTGGTAGTGACCCACAGTTTGGAAAATCTGCCCGAGATGATATCATCTCCCTGTCAATTTTGTACAATGCATCAGGGCCATTCACCTGACTAGGGCAACTGTCCACACTGATATTGTTTCTCTCTCCTTACTGAACTCTTCTGTTTCCACTGTACCCCTATCCTGATAAATATAGAGTTATATACAATCACATACATGGTTTTTGAACTTACCATATTATTTTCTAATAACATTATTTCACTTAGTTATGATATCTATCTCCAACAGCTTTAAATAAAAATTCCCATGGTCTGCTATTGAATGCTATATCATTTTCTTTTAGAATGTCCCATTTTTCATTAAAATAATTTCAAAACCATCTGTGTTTGATTTTGTTTAACCCTCAGGTATGAGTTTTTGAAATGGACACAGGTCCACAATTCCATGAAGTGGCGAACCAGTCCTCGTTTTGGAAAATCTTCCAGGAGTTCATCCAGAAATATATCTTCATGAAATTCTGAACAATTGCTATCAAAACCTGCTTCATTGCTAACTGGTGACTTCCCTAGATTCCCCTCTTGCATCCACTGGATCATCTCTTGAAAACCATTCCAAAAGGGCTGTTCGTTTACTGTGGCTAACTGCTTAGCAAATTCCACACCCCAAGTGAAGGTGATGTCTCTTTTTCAGGTGCCTCTTTGGTAACTGCCTTAATCTCAAAAATATTAAGTTGTCTTCCCCTTAAATGTATTTTTACTAAGACTTGTTCTAAGTTCAGAGGTCTTCTCCTGGCTAAGATCATGTCATATCCTTTGTCAAATTGATTTCTATGTATCAGTTTTTTTTACTAACTCCAGATGGCTACTCTCGTATCTGATATCATGTTTCTGAAACTAGTTTTAGGTCTTTCTCCATCTTTCTATGTCCTTGAGTCTTCCTTGTGCTACTGGAGCTGCCTGAGCCACTCTGAGTTGATTATCACTTTTAGACGACCTAATTCTTAGAAGAAATATATGTTTTTCTATATCCCTATTTTAGATAAAGATTTATCACCAATTCTTGATAGTGTTTAACTTACTGCATGTATCTACTTTTGTTGAAATGTCAGTTTCAGTGTGTTTGAGCCTCATTATTCAGCGAGTATTTTAATCCTCTAAGTCCTGAACACAAATAAACAGAACACGCAATACTGCTGCTCTCAGAGAGCTCGCCTACTGGACTATGCACCTTGCTTTAGAAACACGTGGGAATACAAGCACTTTCCTAAAACCATGTCTTTATTGAATCCAATTTAAAAATCTTAGATACAATCCCTGCATTGCTGTACCATATTTGTAGGTTGTATGTTAAATGGTTGGTTTTTTCTTTTAAGCTACAGATATGACTTTCAACATTTATTGATCTCTTTATAATCACAAAAACTCAGCAAAAAAAAAAATATGTTTCTTACCATGACAACTTGGTAAGGCTCTATTCCATCCAGGTCTTCCATCGTCTCCCATGATACAAGTGAGTGTCGAATAACCTTGAAGAACGTACCCAGCATCACAGTAATAGGTGACAGTTGACCCTAATTTATAATCCATTCCAAGTCTGGTGCCATTCATTATATTGCCTGGATCAAAGCAGGACTCTCGGAGTTTTGCTGTAAAACCGTGTAAATATAACATGAATTGTTTTAAAATGTTTTCTTTGAAACCTTTAAGATTTCTTCATATCCACCTCTACATGGAAAGGCAAGCACCAGCACCCTTTCCGCCTCTGTCTAAGTGCTTAAAGTACAAAGTAGTCCTTAACCATATCTGACATTTTGCTAATTCATATTCATTATTAGTAAGACAATAAAATTCTTCATTGGTATTTTCATTAAAATTGGTATCTAATATACAGAGGGTGCCAAAAACATGTACACGCACTTTAAGAAAGGAAAACAAAATTTTTTTTAAATTGTAAAACTCAATATATACCAATAACAAAAGATGAGTACAAGTGATGTTTGACTTCTACAATTACAAGAGGTGCTCAGAGTGGTTACCATCAGCATCCAGACACTTCTGATTATGGTGAACTACTGCTTGAGCAATGCTAACCAAAGTGTTCACTTGTATACATTTTTTTGGCACCCTTATATAGTATATAGTCAAACATAAGATTTTAGAGTTTATTTTTAAAAGGAGGACTTATTTTCTTAATATTTCTTCATTTAAAAGACCTCCCCCCAAATAATATACACCAATTCCACGTGACTGAGCTGAGAAATGACACAACTGCCTACGCTGAGCTCAGCTCAGTACACCACTAAAAGGGAAGCAAAGGACTCTTTCTCTTTGCCTTGAAAACATCTCTTTTAATATACCTGCTCTAGTCATTTCCCACATTTCTATCAGAGGTCTGTCCATTGGAAAATAGCAACAAAATATCCAAACCTGTATCTTTTTGGACAGCCTATGCCAAAGCTAAGCACTGTCAAAGCTAACAGTACCAGACAATTGCAAAAGGAAAGTCCATTCTCAACAAAGGAACTGTCTTCTGTGCACCCAGGCAGTGAACTAAAGGGACTGACAGAACATTTTGAAAATACGTAGAGACATAGAAAGGCTAGTTCATCCATTTGGCAAATAGGCACTACAGCCCTTTGTTGTTAACAGATCTGGGTAACAGCTTAGTATTCCAAGTTTTTTATTATTATTATTATAGATTATTTAAGAAATAATAGCGAAATGTGCAATGTGAAGACTATCTCAAATTCAGGATAACAAATGTGATTTTCTACATTAGAATTTATCTTATGTTAATAGGAATTCAGGAGGTGGGTGTATCTCTGGATATGACTCATGGCATCATTGGAATTTAAGTCAATAACATTAACATCTTGGAATTTGGCTATTACAGAATTTATATCACTTTAATATATCCAAATGTGATTAATTGCAACAGTAAGAATATATAGTACATATTTTCCATTCATAAAAGTTTGCTGAGTTCAAAGTAGTTCAACATTTACTGGAAATGAGAAGGTTGTGCTTTAGGAAGAACACTATCTAAGATTTCTCCCAATTCAAGTAAAGAGGTAACAGTGGAACCAAATATTTAAATGATTTCAATGGAATATTAGAGGAATGAAGACCACTTTCTTTCCTTCTTTCCAACAAATACTTAAGAGCCCACTACCCAACTAACTCTGGCAATATAGCAATGGACAATCAGAAAATATCTAGAAGTCAAGGAATTTACAGTCTATTAAGAATTATATTAAGTACAGGGCTGGCCAAGTGGCTCAGTTGGTTAAGAGCTCGCTCAAGAGTGTGAGCTCTGAGCAACAGTGGTTCTAGTCCTGGCCCGAGCTGAGCAGTCACTGAGCTGCCAACAGGTGGCAGGGAGGCTCAGCTTAAAAAAAAAAAGAATTATATTAAGTACAAATTTGTAATTGTGATGACTATTGCAAAAGGAGAAGTATTCAGGAGGCTTCCTGAAGAATTGACTTTTAAACTGAGCCTTGAGAGATAATGAGGTGGCGAGGAGCAAGAGATGTGGGGAATGGGGCGGGGGAGGGGGAGGAAGTGTACTGGAGTGTGCTGGTCAGATAAATCTGATTCCAGAATTTCAATACAAAGCTAAATAACTTGATCTTCTCCCAACTACCCATGCGTGCACACACACACACACACACACACACACACACACACACACACACACACACACATAATTTGTACCCCATCAATGATATTCAGAATTCACTATAAAAATTGCTTCTCAATCTAAGGACCCATATTTCTTCCCAGATAAAATATTCAAACAACACTGTTTTCAGGAAAGAACCAGCAGGGCGACTACTAAATTTGGTCACTAAGAATGGGGATTTAGAGTTGCAGGGGTTGGTTTGTTTATTTTTTAAGAATAAAACCACACATCGAGTCTTTCCTTAAACAAGCAGGAAAACACGATGTAAGTTTTAGGTATAAAAGCAACCTAGCATTTACAACCTGCCTTCATGAAAATGAGCTAATCCCCTTGTGGGAAAAGGAAGGATTGAAATTACTGTTTAAAAGGATTAATCTCTTCGACAAGTCTAACAGCCTAATACTGATCTTTTGAAAAGCTTACTTCTTTCTTCTTTAAGTTTTCCCAAAAGTTTTGGTGACATATCAGTGACTCTTTAACTCAAACATCACTTTCTGAGGAAAGGAAAATATGGTCAACAAATTAAAAATCTTTCCTGTGCAATAGTTTTATATCGCCAGCCTCATTTTGAAAGGTTTCATTTATGTCAGTGTTATGTTTACACGTTACTTTAAATTCTTGGTGAACAGCTCTTTATGAATAATACTGTACTTGCTTATTTCCATGGTATATTATAGTAGTTGAATCTGGAAATTTTGAAAATACCTGGAAAATCCTTATATAAAGGTCTCGGCAGTAGCTGGAAAAGTGATTTTCATTTTTTTAAATGTGGAACAGACAAGTTGATAGCATTATTTTTTATGAATAATTAGTTTTATTTGCCTTAATAGTAGTTTGCTTACTGAATAGATCCTAGGTAAAAAGAGTGCCTTGCCTTATATTCTCCAAATAAGTTACATTAGATGTCTGCTGGGTGATAGAAGTGAGCATAGCAATAAAACTTATATCTTACTTCTGGCCTTTTTTTTTTTCCATTTTTATAAAGCATTTATTTTTCAGAATTTTTCTGCAGAAATTTAAAAATAGCTTACTTCTTATTTTAATGAAAAAGTTTGACATTAGAGAACTGAAAAATGTCCTTGAAGATTCAATTGGAAAAATTACAGCTTTCCTATGCTTTTGTTTCCATTTTATTCATAAAGACATATAGATGGTGTTATACATAATAAGTATAATATCTATAACATTATAAAGTTTTTATCATACTTTGTACCCTGGCTTAGTGATAACTAAACAGTGTTTGTTTCATTCATACTTAGAAACAATTAAATTTTTTCTGGACTAATAACCATAAACATTTTTACTGTTAATAGAATTTTCTTTCAAAAATTTATTCCCACATAGAGGTATACATTCATGAAGGGACCATTATTATGAATAATTTCATTCTCTGGATAATCAAAATTAGTTATATATTATTTTTGGTTTTGAGAGGTGACTGAATTGTATAATATCCACCTGCCTATTATTTCCACAATAGTGGAAGTGTGTGGATGGGCATAAATTTGCTAGCATGAGTTCAACAACTAAGAATAAGCTCCCTTCTAATTGTGTGTGCATTATCATCCCCTTATCTAATCATAATCAGTCCCAAGAGGCCCTCCTCATTGGAAAACTCCGCGCTCACATAGGGCCAGATCTCCCAGGGTGCTCCCAGGATAGAAATACAAACTGTACATGTGGTTCTTTATTTTGGAAAATACTGCTACCATGAACATCAAATCACTGCCCCCAGATTATCTCAGGGTAAAGTTGAAATATAATAGGTTGCTCAATATCTTACCTTAAACTTATAGGTTAATTTAGAAAATAACTTATGATACGTTTAAGAGTCTTGGCTAACTTATAGCACATGATCAACTACCTTTAAGTTTTCCACTGTACATATCGGTGCCTATATATTTTCACCCCTTGCCAGCTAAAGCACCAACTAGCTGCCAGGAGGTCCCTTTCAGTAGCACAAAGCTGTATATTGTCTCTCCATCAAAATCAATGTAATTTATTAAAAGAATATAAATATCACTACTATATGAGTCCCATTTGTATAACTATTATAATTATAAACATTGAAGCCATACTTATTAACATTATAATCTAAAATGCTCTATTAAAACAATGCAAATGAGAGCAGTGTTTAAACTCTAAATATTTATTCAATTGTAAATTTGTTAATATTGTATCTCACTGAAATTACAAGGAGAAAAATGGAGGCTACATCTGATTTAAATACTTTGAGGACATTGAATTCAAATTAGCAAAGCGCATTCCCCTTACCTCCAAACTTCTCCTCTGTTCCAATTTCCTATTGTCTACATATTGGAGCATTTCTACTATTTGTTTAATGTACACGTAATGTGGTATTCCTTCCAGAATCTATGTTAGCAGCCTTGTGTTTCTGTGATGTTTGAATATAGCATTCATTTATAGTTCAAATGCTTTGTACAATTACTGTTGTGTATTTGTGTATTTGCACACAAAGAGAAATAAGATTCAGTGTCTACCTTCAAAGGGGACATGGAGAGACAGGTTTGAACACAAGTAACAGCAACTA